TTGGTTGTAGTTGAGAATATAGGTACGGATAAGCGGTGTTTATATTTGAGTTTAAAGATAGATAACAGTGTATATATCGATATCGGTTGCTCATATTTGAGTTCAAGAGAATGCAGTAGTTGGTCCTTTTTGTCTAGTTTGCTTTATTTTTCCTTCTCGTGAGATGATTTAGTCGACGTATTCTAAATTCCGCCCATATAACAACTGCCAAACGGATGACTTTTATTGGCTTGCGTTTCTGACTTGCTAACCATTAACACCTAAATGTTTTAATATGATCTGATGTAGATAATACCAGTTTACGGTTGATCTTAAACTATGCGCTTAGGTTTATTATGAGTTAATGATCCTTTCGAAAATTTCCTTTTCGGACAGCTTTGAAAAAAAAAAAGCAAAAAATTGAATCTCGCTGACTCCAGACGGGAAAGTCAAAATGAAAATTGCTTCAAGCGTCATATATTTTCAATTAAAATCGATTCTTCCTCCAGTGACCGGCCGCAGAAAGTATTTTAATTCAATATAATCTCTCGTCTAAAACCTTTCGGTCTGACAGAATGCTCAGAGGTTATCGACTATATACTAAATGTTAAACTAGCTGCGAGAATGGTTTTAGCATTTCATTCGAATAATAACGGCCGAATGAAATATTTTGTCGGGTAAATGTTTGCTCAATGCTTACCGCCAGGTAGCATTAGCGGCGATTAATTTAATTACTTCATTAAGATGATGAGATTTGATTGTACTGCAATATCGGCGAAAACAGCGTTCATTTTTAAAAGAACATTCGTCAAAATCAGTCTCTGTTTATCACTTCTAACGTCTAACATGAAAGAAAGTAAGTACCATTTTAGAAATATTATGATTTTATTTTTGCTTTTAATGCATTTTAAATGGAAAAAAAAAAGAATTAGTGGAGTTCATGTAGAAAGTTCTGTAAATAATGAAACGTGTCAAATGTGGTTTGAAAAGATAACTCAAACTCTGCAATTGGTTAGACGAATTAAGAAAAAATGTCCAATAGGTGTCAGCATTTTAGTATTTTCGGACCATCTCAAGAAAATTAGCAAGTTGAGTAAGCTCGATAAATGGGTTCCACTTGAACTCAATGAAAATCAAACTGTTCGACGCCCTGAAGTGTGTCCGATGCTGTATCTACGAAATTCGATTCATCCATTTCAGGATCGAATACTGACTTGGGATGAGAAATCGAGCCTTTACGACAATCGAAAAATGGCGACGGGTCAAAACACTTTCCAAAACCGAAATTGCACCAGCAGAACTTTATGGCGACTGTCTCGTGGTCCATGTTGGCGTTATCTTTTACCGGTTTCTGGAGCATCACTGCCGAATTTCACTGCCAACAACTGGATGTAAAACATATTCAGTTGAGCAAAATGCGATTGGCACTGGTTAATCGACGTGCTACAATTCTGTTTCTAGACAATATCCGGCTAAATGTTACCATAATGACTCTGCAGATACTTACCGACATGGGATACGAGATTTAGGAACATCCAGAATGTTCCTCTGATCTCCCACTCACTTGACAGCTGTTTAAGTTAAACGACATTCCGTTGCAAAGATGACGCAGAAATTTCAGTCAAAGATTTCTTCGCGTTCATGCCTTATAGATTTTTTGTTTTTTTTTAGTAAATGCATAAATAAACTTATAATACGATAACAGAGATGTATAGATGTCCAACGTTCCTATTCTGACTGTTTTAAACAATGTTTAAATACATTAATTCAGAAATAAAAGTAGATTCGAAAATCGGACATTATTTTGTGAACAAACTAATACCAAGAGATGTACTCTTGTTGCAAATGCTTAGCCTCAAGCGATCGTAGAGATGGAAAAGCTCGATTCTTCAGTTTTTCGCCTTCATCACATGCTCCAAACCACCCTTTTCGTGTTCAGCATTACAAACAAGATATTAAAATATTTGATGAAAAAATTACAATGTCGAAAACAGTATCAAATCCTTCATTATTGAATACATAATTCATCTGAAAATTGGCGTAATCTTACAGAAAGCCCCGGAAAATACAGTGTACGGCAATAAACCTCCTATTTTGATACACTGATATTAATGTTAGTGAAGCTCAGCATGTCTTAATAGTTTTATTTATGTAGCTAATGTTTCAATATTTTTAATATACCTATATATGCTATATATTATTCCTATAAACGCACGCTGTCTACTTTCATGTCTGGTTGGGTTAATAAATAGAATTCTCGTTAGTGGGCCGTAAGAATCACAAACGGCTGTTGAGAAGACCACGTCACCGCGTGGTAGGCTCTTGGAAATGTTGACCTTTGGCGGTCTTACCTTATTGATGTTGGGGAAGGTTTGGTCTGGTTTGCTTTGTTTTACGGCATATCAACCCTCAGTGAGATAATGCCGACAAAATTTTTATTGCTGGGAATATTTTTTTTTTAAAAAATATTGTGCTAGTAATATTTTTTTTTCTTCAAAAATCTATTTCTGATATTATTTTTTTTCAAAAAATCTATTTCTGGTAATATTTTTTCCTCGAAAATGTATTGCTCATAATATTTTTTTTTCAAAAATGCATTTCTGGTAATAATTTTATTTTACAAAGTATTCTGGTATTAAAACCTATTTTTACACTTTCATAATGTTTTGACCGCAAATTTAACTATTTACCCATAGCTGGCACCCTAACAGGTGCTAGCACCCGGGGTCAGGGTGGACCTGGGAAAACCAGCAATTAATAGGTGGTTCCACGCTCCTCAACATCTCCACACCAGAGGCCTGACTGTTGGATGTCGTTTGTCGTCATACCCAGGACGCGGATGTAGTCTGAGTGTTAACTATTTACCCATAGCTGGTACCCTAATAGGTTCTACAACACCGAGTCATGGTGGACCTGGTAAAACCAGCAATTAATAGGTGGTTCACGCTCCTCAAAACCTCCACATCAGAGGCCTTACTGTTGGATGTAGTTTATCGTCTTACCCAGGACGCAATGTTGAGGAAGGTCGATCAGTTTGTGGAAATGTCATGTTCTTTCAACGAACCAAAACTTACATAAATTGGTTATTCAGGTGTATGGTTTCAACAACATAGATCCACAGTGAATTCAGTAAGAATAGCAATGGAGATATCTTTTGCGAGCACTTGGTCTTCCTACAGGGTGACGTTTGCTGGTCTTTACGCTCACCTTATATCTCACTGTGGGATTATTTTTTCTGAGACTAACTGGAAGCTGGTCTCTGAAAACCATTGACAAAAAACGATGCACGAATGGAAGAGTGTCAGGAGTCTAGTAGTTGCTAGAAATTAGTGTGATGGAAACACACAGAAATTGGCAAAAGGTGTGCATTGGGAATGGAAACCACTTCTTGGCAATTATAATTCAAAACCTAGAAGAAAAAAATGTTTGGATTTAAATTTCAAATAAACTTTTGTCTTGACTTCTTATCACAACCGATGAATGGTAGAACATTTTATTGATGCATCCTGCTGACTGAAAACTGAATAATGATGCCATGAATTTATATGAATAAACGATTTTGCCAAGAGAACACGACAAATATTTGTATCAACATAATATAGATTTGAATGTGCGAATGTGTTTTCGTCTGTCTTGTGTGGGTTAGTGTGTCCGACCTTCTATCCAGTGAGTCGCGATATGTCTGGAAAATGTCTAAATTGCTTCTCAAGACATTAAATAAATTAACTGGATAAGGCAACGTAATGAAGATACCAAATTCTAATGACCAGACCGACACGAAATTGAAGCACCGTGACCAACTAATTAATTTTATGTTACATATGTATCCGTTATGTCGACATTTCTTCATGGATAGCAGGAGATTGTTAAAGCCATTTATTAGTCAACATTCATTGTTATATGAGGGTACATCTGCATGCGTAGAGAACACGGGAAATTGTGGGAATGTCGTCTGCCTGAATGAACTAATTGCTTAGTTAAAAGGCCCCTGCATCAACTTTATTAAAACAGCCTCAATAACCGTTTGTTAATTACTTCGTTTAAATCTCATTCTTAAAAGCCTAAAAGTATACCTTTTTCTAATAAGAAATATAGTTAAGATGGTATTTTACAAATGTGACCTGTCTTAACAATGGACTAGTAATATTTTTATATATTAGTATCCACAGAATCTACCTCTCAAGATCGTTTAAAGGTAGAAGATTACTGCATTAAGTATATGTTATGAAATTAAGAGACAGGTTTCTTGACTGACTTGTTTTTCTTTACAGTTTATCAAGCATTTACAGTTTATTTAAATTCAGAAATTAATTTTGGACTGTTTTGGAGATAATAACGATCTACTGATACAAGTCTTACTATTTATTGTAACATAGGAAGGGTTACTGAATGAGGAATAACTAAAACGGAGGTTGGAAATGAAATGGCAATCTTTATAACATCAACAAAATACAATACTCACCAGTGGTGTGAAACAGGTAAACCACTGCTAGTGGTAGACTACTTAGCATTTTACCCCCACTTACAATAGTGTCCAACATATTTATGAGGATTGGGACATACCCATTAGCGTTCATAGGTACGGTATGTAACAGATAGATAGATAGATAGATAGATAGATAGATAGATAGATAGATAGATAGATAGATAGATAGAACTGAAAGTTACTGAGATAGTGTTGTAACCTAGAAAAGGTTACTGAATGAGGAATAACCAAAACGGAGGTTGGAAATGAAATGGTAATCTTTATAGCATCAACAAAATGCATTACTCGCCAGCGGCGTGAAATAGGTAAACTACTGCTAGTATTCGACTACTTAGACAGCATATTACCCCCGTATTTATGAGGATTGGGACATACACATTAATGTCCATACGTACGTTATATAGCACTATTTAACCCATAGGTGGGGAACATATAGAGTCATACCTTCCCCAAGGATATCTTTCGCGTAATTGAATATAACGAATCCGATTTCCAATTCTGAGCTGTTATCCATTACACCAGTCTCAGATCCAAGCTTACAGCAACTGTTATTTTCTAACGGTCATCGATCTAAGTACTGACCAGGCTCGTCATTGCTTAACTTCGGTGATCGGATGGCAACGGGTGTTTCAACCCTTAACAGGAAGAAGGAGCAAGTGAAGACAAGGAAGATATAGAGGACAGATAATGTAAAGCAATTTATACATTTTAGTACAATATTTCCTGCTTCACATTAAGCTGACACAATTATGACTCTCATAGTGTACGACAAGCGTCATTAGCTATTAAGCTACAAGAAGTCAATATAGCAAAGAAAGTTGCATGTGTCGTTGGGTATTTCGAAATCTATAGCTAACTTTTTCGTCCTCGAAATGTAAAGCAATTTATACATTTTAGTACAATATTTCCTGCTTCACATTAAGCTGACACAATTATGACTCTCATAGTGTACGACAAGCGCCATTAGCTATTAAGCTACAAGAAGTCAATATAGCAAAGAAAGTTGCATGTGTCGTTGGGTATTTCGAAATCTATAGCTAACTTTTTCGTCCTCGAAATGTAAAGCAATTTATACATTTTAGTACAATATTTCGTGCTTCACATTAAGCTGACACAATTATGTCTCTTATAGTGTACGACAAGCGTCATTAGCTATTAAGCTACAAGAAGTCAATATAGCAAAAGAAAGTTGCATGTGTCGTTGGGTATTTGAAATCTATAGCTAATTTTTTCGTCCTCGAAATGTAAAGCAATTTATACATTTTAGTACAATATTTCCTGCTTCACATTAAGTTGACACAATTATGACTCTCATAGTGTACGACAAGCGTCATTAGCTATTAAGCTACAAAGAAGTCAATATAGCAAAGAAAGTTGCATGTGTCGTTGGGTATTTCGAAATCTATATTTAACTTTTTCGTCCTCGAAATGTAAAAGCAATTTATAGATTTTAGTACAATATTTCGTGCTTCACATTGCTGACACAATTATGTCTCTTATAGTGTACGACAAGCGTCATTAGCTATTAAGCTACAAGAAGTCAATATAGCAAAGAAAGTTGCATGTGTCGTTGGGCATTTCGAAATCTATATCTACCTTTTTCGTCCTCGAAATGTAAAGCAGTCTGTACCTTTTTAGTACGACAATATTTCCTCTTCTTATAAATATCAACATATCGTAGGTATATTATTTGCGTAAACATTACTGATGTTTACACGTTAAAATTAATGTCTACCTGTCTAGTGACTGAAAGTCATAATTAGGAAAAATGAAGCTCCAACCACGAAATCTCGGGAAAGGAGATAGTTGTATAATTATCGGCCAAGGTGAAAAGATATCTTATATCAAGCGATGTACCTATTTTGTGTTTTTAGTCTTTATTTTTAAAGCTAAAATGAATAACCGGAGTTCAGTAGATATGATAAGAACGGTACACATCGCAGTGTTAATAGATTGTAAGGAAACAGCTTAATTACGATTTGCCGATATATATATATATATATATATATATATATATATTATTATTATCATTATTATTATTAATAGAAATCTTATAAATATGAGAAACCATACTCGTTTGGAAAACCTTCGGTGTCTTGATTTGTAGATAATCAAACCAATACCAAAGGGGAAAAAGGTATAAAAAACGAAATAACTAAGAACATGTACGTTAGCCGAAAATAATCGTCCAGCATGCAAGTCCTAGGTCCCCACAAAAAAACCCGCGTACGCAAAATAACTAAATAAATGCTCAATAAAATGAGTAGAGCAGATCTAGTTAAACCTAGAGAGCCAGACAAACTTACCAAGGTTTCACCTAAGCGGATCGTCAGGGAATTAACTAACTAACTAACTATATATATATATATATATATATATATATATATATATATATATATATATATATATAAACACACCACTTTAAAGTTCTATTAAAATAATTTATTTCAATAGAGCCCTTTAAAGGACGCTGGATCATCAGATAACACTTCCAAAAGTGATATGAAAGATGAAATGAAAATTCATACTTTTGACGGGTATATATATATATATATATATATATATATATATATATATATATATATATGTGTGTGTGTGTGTGTGTGTGTGTGTGTGTGTGTGTGTGTTTGCTTGGTTCTGCACAAAAGCCTTGACATCTATAATCAAATCATATGAGCTAGTGTCTGGCTATCGGATCCTAGGAACTGAACTCATACCTCGAATACGACGGGAATATATTGTGTTTGAAGAAAAAGTATTGAAGATTTAAGCTGGAAGTTAAGAAACAAAAGTTGAAAACAATTTCGTTGTTATGAAATCTTTGAAGTAGTAAACATGAGTCTGTGTTTCTTTGTCACTGCAGATCTGGAGAAACCACTCGTTTGAAGTTCGCTCTTCGTCTCGTCGACTAAACAATAAATAGATAAACGAAAAGAGAAGATATTGACAAAAATGGCACCGGAACATATAGATCGGAGATATTTATTTACGCGTTCTATTCTTTTTTTTTTTTTTTCACTTTTTTATTTTTTATTTTTTTTACCTTCATTTTTTTTTAACATGGCAATTAACTTCAACGCCATTTGTCTGTCTTTTTATGATAAATTTTTGCATTTTAATTATATATGAGTTTCAGTTCTTGGCGAGGATGTTTTTCACATCTTTCTTTTCTTTTCTTTTTTCCTTTTCTTTTTTTTTTTGTTCTAGTTTTTTTTTTATTTCATTTTTTGATGGGAGATTTTACTATTTATATGTAACTTTTTATCGGCATCGATTTTTTAGATAATTGTGTATTTATTTGGTTTCACAAGTACCTAAAATATAATTTGAGCTGACAGGTAGACATACACAGCGACACGCAGAGATACACTCATACAAACTCACACACACAAAACTAATAATATAAAATAGATATAAAAGAAGTTGTATTTGGGCAGCAAGTTTTCATTTAAGCATGCTTGGTTGAAAAGCAACGAAAGTTCTTATATATATATATATATATATATATATATATATATGTGTGTGTGTGTGTGTGTATGTGTGTGTAGTCTGTCTGCGATATTTTATTAATAAAATACACCTGCGTCTCTTTTACATTTTGGGAATTTTACGGTATGGAATTTCCCTGCAATGAAGTTTTGCAAAGATCATTTTTGGTTTATTTAGGCACCTTCCTGCTTTTCATCTTCCATTCTTCTGTTTAAAGATTTATACTATATATATATATATATATCGTATATACGTGTATATCAGTTTGCTTCATGTATAGTGCAACCTTGAAATTTTTGTGATTTTTTCATGTAGCACGTGTTTAATTTGGCTCCAGCTTCTGAGCAATACTAATAGACCTACCGTTGTCAAATATTACAGCACTGGACATCACCCTGGACGCATATTGTATAGCAGTCTTCCTTCTTTTTTTTGTTTTTACAAAGCTACCCCAAAATGCCGAGAAACACCACTTACCATAAAATATCTGATAGAAAAATTTAGATAGTGTACATTTGTTTTCGTTCAAGCCTAACTTGGGTAGCTCCGTAACCATGGACCAGCCTCCTACAAACATACGTTACGGTCGCGGACACTGAAAATGCATGAATTTTAACCCTGCCGGAAACATTACCTATGTATAGTGCGACACCCTATTGTTTGAGTAAAAATGACCAGAAAAACACTCATTAGACTCGAGTATATACGGTAGTAATTACTATTAAAAGTTAATATGAAATATCCAGTTATCTAGTCTCTACCATGAGCTTTGCGCATATAACATGCAACAATTAAGTCTCCGAATGATTGAATGTATAATCAGAGTAGAGAGATGATGAATATATATTTAATTTAACTTTCTTATTATTAACGATCGTTTTCTCTCTCGCTCTTCCTTCTCTCTCTCTCTCTCTCTCTCTCCCCATCTCTTTTGATATTGAGCTCTTTAACTGCAAAGCATCCTTGCCATAAAACGTTACCATTTATTTAAGAAAACGCAATCTTTCTTTCGCTGTTTATATATATATATATATATGTGTGTGTATAGGCTAAGCATACAACGCTACAACACCATCTGATTTATGCAATATATCATCTATCCAGCTAGCTAGGTAGCTTCTTGATATATATATATATATATATATATATATATATATATATATATATATATATATATATTAATGAAAACAAACCACTTTAAGGTACCATTATGAGCCAGAGCCCTTTTAAAGGACGGCGGATCATCAGATAGCACTTCAAAAAACGTTTCTCTGGATTTACATTGAGCTGTCAGGATTTCATCCTCCTTGGGATTACCCATACGGATTAACAAGTTCTTCATAACTTAAATTATATATATATATATATATATATATATATATATATATATATATTCATACATGTTTCTTTAAACAAGTGTTGTCTATTTATTTTATGCAAATTCTTTTCATAACGCCTGATAAGTTTAATAACATTATCGTTAAACGAAGAAAGAAAATCACAATATTTATCCATATTTTTTAATCCAATCTAAGCTTTCGGCTTACATAAGCTATCATCAAAGATGTCAATTACTGTACAATATATTAAGCAATATACGGACAAGACAGTGATTATAGTCTGTTATTGTTTACATGAATGATTTTCAAGCAATGATAAACACATGTATATAAGACGCTAGAAGCGAAAATCGCACCACAGCTCATGACGTCACACATGACCACGTGAGAGTGAATTCGAGAAGTATTAAGTATGCGAAGCCATTGGTATAAACCAATGGCTTCTGTTACCAATAGACATTTAAGGATATTTGTAGAGATTCCATAGTTGATTTTGTTAAGGTTGGGTTTCAACAGTTTGATGTATATAGCGTCAAGGATTTTCAGTTTTTGTTTATTGTTTTCATGTTTAAGTATAATTGTGTTTTCGACAAGGATTTTACGGAATTGTGTGTGCGGCCAGGCATGTTGTTTTAAATGCCTAAAAATGTTTTCATTCAAATGTAGTGTCAAGCGTCGTTGGATTAAAAAATATGGATCGATATTGTGATTTTCTTTCTTCGTTTAATGATAATGTTATTATGCTTATCAGACGTTATGAAAAGAATCTACAAAAATACATATTTGTATATATAAAAAGAACATATA